CTCCGTCGACTCATCAAATTCTTCAGATTGATTCGTCGTCTCAGATCGGTTGTTCGATTAGGTTTGACTTGAAGGGTTCAGTCAAGATTAAGCTGTAATATTAATTGTACATTAATATTACTGATCGGAAGCGGCCTCCACCTAGACATTCCGATCACTTGACCTTACTGAAGAATTAACTTTCCGATAATTCTAAACCCTCTATCGGAATAATACACTTGTTGGAAGGACACCATTTCTTTCACGATACTCTATATGTTTATGACACTTTGTACACTTAAGACATTATATGAACTTTAGGACTTGTGCGCTTTGCGTGTTTTGTTTATCAGTATGATTAATCGTTACGATTACTCCTTTCGATGTACTTTTGAAGAATAACTTTGAAAAAAGTTAAACTATCGTTGTATGGCCATCGTTGTGCGCCAATACCCCTTGCGTCCTGGCGTTTGACGCTGAACACGGAGGATTAAACTGGTAGTGTAGGTATCGAGTGTTTGGCATCTAACGCTAGGGTCTATTTTTCTCGGGCTTCGTTTGATACAATGTTCTTTTGAGCGACAGTTTTCCTCATCCCTTTTGGGGATGTTAGTGTAACTAACGCCTCTATGTTTTATGAGTAACTGTTGTTTGGATCTTTGGTCATGACCTTTTTTTTCCCTTTGACATCTTCCTTCATTGCATTGTGCAATATAGAGGATAAAGCAATGGCTATTCTTTTGACACCTTGGTTAGTGAGTTATCGTAAGAATTTGTAGTATGTTGTCAAAATAATCGCTTTTCGTAAGAATAGCATATATCATAAATAGTGTAACATAAAGCAAGAATGATAAAGAACATGATGACTAAATCAAATATATTTGAATGGGTTAGAGTTTACTTTCGTGTCGTCATGGCCTTTGATCATGATAATTTGATGTTTCGATCTCTTGTCAATGTCGCTACAATTTGCTAGCGTCGACCCTCGGTCGTCATCATCATGACATTGAGCCGTTGTCTCCATATATGTCATCATGATCCTTGATTATGCCATCATCTTCATGGCGCCGAGGTATATGATGTTGTCATACATAATACTGAAATCATTACGCTTAACTTCGGCGTCAAGAAACCTGTTCGTCATCACTCTAAACACTAATTTCGGATTTTTGCACCAAGTCATTAATAAATTGAGATTGTGAAGTATAAACGACGCATAAAAAGATCTAAATATTGCATTTGACGTTGATTCATAAATTAAAGTATGTGTAATCAAATGTTTCATCATAAGAGTTACTGATAACCAATTAAGAATAATAAATAGGCCAATTAACGTAAACTTAAATTAACAACAATGTGTATTGCTACGTCAACAAAGATAATAGAGATAACAATAAGTAAAACATTAAAGCGATAGAATCATGTCAATGACAATGATAATTAGAAAATCAAAGTAATGATATGTTAGTGAAGATGATCAATAGAAACAAAAATAAATATTTTAAGCTAGGCAACCAATTAAAGAGCATGATCAAGACAATGTAAATTTAAAAATTAAAAGTGATAATGTGGCGTACCTCGGTGGTGTCGATGACTGACATAGTAAGTGACATGTTTGATTGAAGGCGGCATGTATTAATAATAGAAATTTACCTTAGGGCGATGACATTGTGATCTAGACCCCAATGTTGAGTCACTCAAGAAGATCTCATTCTAGCCTAGCCCCCATTGTCGAGTCGCATACATGATCTTGGGTGTCGAGCCCCTAGTGTCATGTTCTAGGTTAACGTTGTATATATTATTTCTTTCTCACATAAAACTATATTGTTAACTAAGCAAATAATATACTTCTCCATATTTCCAAATAACATATATATTCATAATTGCATTAAGAATGAATCAAAACATTAACAATTAATCAAAGTCTAGTGATGAAAGTGTTAGAAACTAAGGCATTAAAAATCAAAAACATAATAATATGATCGTAATGATTAAAGCATTGAGAATTAAAAAGAGTTAAATGACAAAGAATGATTGAGACATTAGGTTAATATTCAAAGTATATTATCTTGCCCCCTTATGGCAACTTCATGAAAAATGCAAATAATATGAAATGAAGTTAGCCACAAAATATAATGTTATCGTCAATTTTTTATTGCTATTGTTGATGACAATATTCCGATGTCACAATCAACTAACGTTATGAATCTCCACATGTAATCTTACTTTATCTAAAAATAAGCTTGTTACATAGGTTAGTCGTCACAAGATATATATAATTACTTAAGCTAATGTCATGATATATAATCAGTATTCTAGATAAAAGTTAATGAAAATATTTGTATAATAGAGTAGTCTCAAGTAAAATATCTGAAGTTTGCATTAGGTAAAAGCTTACTTGCATCATCATTAAAGCTACATTTGTCTTCATGTCGTCATTAATTGATGACACTAGGTTGATGACGACGTTATTGATTGTCGTCGTCGAAACTGGATGTCATCCTCGACACTGGCTGATGGCAGATAACGTCGAGTTGTTGTTGACGACGTCAAGTTGTTGACTAATGACCGCAATGACCTCATTGGCGTCATCATTGATGGTTGGCGTCACTTGGCTACTTTAGTACCTATTTCAGCGACAACATAGCCTAAAAATAAATAATGTTAGTTAAACGAAAAATAATATTGTGTATGACGGCAAACCCTAAATTTTCGTGACATCGCGAGACCCGTGACTTAAAGCGGCGCTTTCCATGACGTCCTTCCCTTTAAGTGTGATGTTTACTTTGTTAATGACGATATAGTCTGTCATAGCTTAAAGGAAACACAAAATAGTTAGTTAAATTAAACCACAAGGAGAAATATTACCAAAACTCTTAAGGTTGTCAAGGATAATCGCCCTCGTCGCAGAATTTTGAGTTCAGTTGGTGTCAGTCGCCACACTGACATAGATTGTTAACTTGTCGCCGACGATCACCACCTCGACGTCGCCATCCCGTCACGTCGTCACCGTCCCGTCGCCGTCGTTATCATTATGTCATGACGTCACCATTTTGTCACGACTTCACCATTTTGTTGTCGGGACCACGAACAATTCATATGTGGTTAAAGGCACTTTACGGGATTGGATATATCTTAATGATGGGAATGTGTTTGAAAAGGAACTTTTGTAGGGTTGAGATTTTAATCTAGTTGCGTCCCCACAGACGACGCCAAATTGTTTATGCTAAATTTCGTCAAGTAGGATTTAATGTGGGAATAAGGGCTACGAATCAACTAAATTAAAATAGGAAACGTTGAATGTAGAAAGTAAATGACGGAAAAATAAAGAAAGAGAGTGCAGACACGATATGGTGACACGGAAAACCCCAATGAAGGTGGGTAAAAACCGCAGGTGGCAATGATACCACCAATCTACTATAATACGGGCATAAAACCAATAATTACAATTACCAGGTATATTTGATATTTGATAACAACATAAATGAGTATAAACAAGTATATGTACATGTCTTGCGCATAAGATTTTTATAGTGTATATGGTAGGGTGTATATGGCGTAGTAGACTAGTAGTATTGTAGAAGTACGTTATAGTAGTGATCTTTTAGAAGAGTGGTGTTGGGATTAGAATATAGTAGTTGGGCAATGACACCTTTAGTGGAAAGTCCATGTGGATGGAGATTGGAGACATTGCATGGGAATGAAGGAGTAATATGTAGTGTATTTAGGTGGAGGTTATATACGTAGGATGTCAATGACACTTGTAGTGGAATTCCTATGTGGATGGAGATACTAAGGATTAGATAAGCTGATATCAATTGTATGGGATTCGTGGGATTGTATATGGGCATTGGCAGTAGGTGAGTAACTAGCTAGGTTTTTCATGTCCTTTGCCGTAGGAATGGTTGCTTTTTTTATAGTCTTGATATGTTATAATCTTGAGGTACTTTGGATGGTTGTTGCATGGTTTCCTCAACCACATCCTTAAATAGTGGGAGTGGTGGTTAACTCTTTTACATGGTCCTTTGATGAACTTGGACTGCTTTTGGGAGTACATACACCGTAACAACCTTGAAGACTTATTCTTGTTGACCTATTATTTCTCCTTGATTTTAGGGACCACTAGTAACTATCTTTACATGGTCTTGTATATCTTGGTCTTGGCTGTCAACGCCGGTCAACGGTCGTACAAAATGATCCATAACATCAACTTCGCTTACATTACGTCCTTTTAATTATTATTATTATTATTATTATTATTATTATTATTATTATTATTATTATTATTATTATTATTATTATTATTATTATTATTTATTATTATTATTATTATTATTATTATTTATTCTTCCTACTTATAGAGTTGTATTTAAACTATTGAAAAGTAATATTCAATACTACGAGTCGGAGAAGATTTGGCGCATAGCTCCTATATGCAAACATTGCATATAGAATGGCAATGTATTAATAAAGTTGAAGTTGTAGTGGGAGTGTGAAGTACCATTTAATAGGTAAATAGTACAATTAAATGTTGTAGTGGTTAAATATTATGCTAATATTATAAATAAATATGTAAATGGTACATCAAAATATTATACCACTGTGAGATATAATAGTACTACTAAGATATAATGGTACAATATACATGCATAATAGTACAAAAAATGTACCTATTATTTCTCCTTGATTTTAGGGACCACTAGTACCTATTATTTCTCCTTGATTTTAACCATAAAAAGTACTGTTTGGGGTAAAAATTACCCTATGCCACGTGGCCCAATAGCATGCTGACCTGTGTCGGCCTCAGAGAGGCCCAATGGGATCTAATCCTCTACTGACAAGTGGCACCGTAACCCTAATAGGGGAATTGATCCCCTTCCACTATAAATAGAGGAAAATCCTCATTTATTACATATTCATAAATACAAACATAAAAAATCTGAGCAATCACTAGTAGAAAAAATGAATAAGGCACCGCAGCTTTCGCACCGATTTTTGAAAACCGGTGTTAAAAGAAATAGGCGGGATTGAGGGAAAGAGTTTTCGCACCGGTTCTTACAAAACCGGTGCGAAAAGTGAGTAAATCGCACCGGTTCAGTTTGAACCGATGCGAAAACTTTGTTTTAAAAAAAAAAAAACCCGGTTATAATTTAACTTTCTTTCTTTCTCTTGAAACCCCTCGATCTTTCCTCCTCTCTCATTCTCTCTCCTCCATTGAAGCGTACTCATCTGCCTCTCTCTCCTTTCCTTTCTTCTCTCTTTCGATCGCCTTATTGCGACCTATGCACCCTTCCTCGGTTTCATTGTGGAGCTCTTCAGTTGTGCTCCATCAATCAAGGTTTTCCTCTTTCTTCTTTTTCAGTTGCATTCGATCTTAGGGTTTTGTTTGTTTTTAACTTGAGGTGTTTTTTAGGGTTTTGTTTGGCGGTGGTGGCTGTGGTGGCCTTATTGCGACCTAAAATCGTTGGCTTCATCTTCTTTTGTCGAATACTCTTCATGGTGGCGCAATTGCGTCTTTGGTGGATTTGGTGGGTTCGGCTGTTGCACAATTGCGAATACTCTTCCTTTTTTCTGGGTTTGTAATGAAATTATTGGCTTTGTTTGTGTTTTTTTTATGAAATTATCTTGTGGGTTGTTTTATTTTTATTTTTTTTATGGGTATCTTCTGTTTTCCTGTTTTTTCTCCTTAATCTGATTATGGTTTGATTAATATGATTTTTGGACCTTAAATTTTTGGTTTATAATGTTTTGCTTTTATTTCATCTTATAGTGTTAAGAAATCCTGCAAATTTCGGAAGGAAATTTGTAATTTCATGAATATCATCAACTTTAGCATAAGTTTGATTAAGCTTGATGTCTTTGTGAATTGTGAGAATGCTTGTGATAAGGGTAATCCTACTTTTTTCTATATTTCTTGAGGTGTTTATTTTCCTGGATTCTTAGTTTGTTTACTGGTCTTTTTGGTTGATTGGCTTTTTGTTGAACTTGATGAAGTTGTTCATATTTACATTGTTTCATATGATACGTAGAATCATTATGGGATTTGTAGAATACACATAAAGTTGTAGAGGGTAGGTTGTTGTGCAAGTTTCACCTATGAACAAGATATTCCCTTTCTTCAGCTTAAGAGCTTTGCAACGAATGGTCTTATATGCAATTCAAATGATTAGGGAGGAAGGTGAAAATTAGCATTTAAGGTAGTAGGTCAAAGCCTTTTCTATTCAATGTGATAACACAATGAGCAATTCTTTCAACTTGGAAGCAAAATCTCAAAAGTGTAGCACAGAGTAACCTTTTGTTTGGGTATAATTAGTAGGAATGGTCAGCCTATAGTTACCTTGTGCTCAGTATTGGGAAGATTTGGACTTGACTGACCACAATTATCTGATACTCTGTTGAGAATTGCAAGTAAAGAGGGGTTCCATGAGATGTTGGAGTAGTTGTGACTACATACAACATGATTGCTTTTGATGGTAAACGTTCTGAAGAATCTGAGAAGATTATTGAAGAAATAAGAAATAGAGATGGGGATTACTTCTCATGGATGAGGTAACTACTTGTGTTGAAGGACCTTGGGCATTTTTGGGTGATAATGACCTTGAAGTTTAAGGGAAACATGTCTAACTTCCCCTTATTTAATCTGATGTTGCATGGGTGCATGTCGTTCCTGCTTAGATGTTTCGGAAAGTTATCAGCACTACAAAATCGCATTGCAAACTTGGGCTTACTGGTATTTACTTTTCCTATGATTTTATTCATGCTATTTATTTGTTGAGTCGATTTGTCGACCATACAAAGTTGAAAAAGTGATCTGTTTTTTTTTTTTCACGTGCCTACAACCTGCCTATGCGTTTTCCTTTGTTTTTCTTATTGTGTGCTTACTAGAGGATATTCATGGAAAAATTTTGTTGTTTTCTATGTAATTGGAGTAGTTATGTGATGTTAATTCCCCAGCGTGTATGTTTCCTGCTTTTGTTACAAGCGAATTATTTATTATGTTGTCAGCATTTCAAGTTGAGTGTTTATCTGAAATCTTTCTATCTTGTTTTAGGTACCACTGGATTAGACGCAAAGGACGGCCTGCAGCGAGAGAGATTGCAGAGCTATCTTGTTTTAGGTACCATTGGAGTAGTCGGGACTATTATTAGAGCTATGCAGGTATTAACTTTACTGACTTAATTTTCTTCCTGATTCTTTGTATCTTGTAAGTTCTTGGTATAGTTATATGTCATCCTATGGGTAAACTGAAATCTCTCTTGCGCTGAAGGCCAATGAATTAGTGACTGATGTTTGCTCAATTATATATGACTTTTGCACTTATATTATAAACATGACTGCTTACTTTTGTTTACAGGTTATATATGTGAATAGGTTCTCACCTTCATCATGGAAACATGCTGTTAATGAGATAAAAGTATAGGAACCTGTGGCTCTTTCTGATGTCTTTTCAATACATATATTTGTCTTCCTAATGGCCTCCTGCTGTTATTCTGTGTGTAAATTTAATAAGACTTAATGACCATGTTCCATGTTGATTTCCTGATTTTCATTAGTTTTTATCGTTTTGACTTAATTGGCTGTTCATCATAGGTGTTCCAAAATTACCAAACCTTCCTGTAGAATTATAAATGCTATATACTCATTGGGTAGTAAGTGAAGCTAGATTATGATGCATAACTGTAATCTTGGCTGTTCATCATTTTGGCTATGCAGATCTAGCTACATGACCTACATTTATCTTGTTTTGTTAAATAACCTTGTGTCAATCAAGACATTGTCTTCAAATTAGAGAATTCCCAGCCCAAATTTTATTAGCTCATGACATGGACTATGCTGACATAGCTACATTATTCTGGTTATGTTCAATATCTTGTATGATCCAAATTCAGCAACTTTTTTTCTTTTTCATATTTTTATAAAATAATCCTGCCCTTTTCATACTAGTGCTTATGTAAATGGCATTTAGTTCGTAGGTTAAGATATCATTTTGGGCCGTTTGATATGAACTGTTGTCTTGTGTAACAGCCATCATTATGCTTTGGTAGGTTAAGATTGTTGAGTGGTGGTCCTTTCCTAGCTACTCATTTTATAAAATTTTCCAAGTTATGTTGTCCTTCCTTGTCTTGTGCCCTCCGTCGTCTAGATCTGATAAAATTGACTTGTATCTAATTATTCAATTTCGATCTATAATATTTTGAAGATAACTTGTAACTTGTTCGTAGATTAGAAATTTAAATTGATAATAAATTCGCGAGAACCACAAATCATTTCAGACGACTTTGGTTCGTGAGTAGTTTGACTTTTACCTTATTATTCTAAGTTTGACAAAAAATATTAAGAGTATTAATCAAACTAGCTAGAACAATAGACAGGGAGTATAGAAGTGGTGATATGGAGGTCTACGTTTATTAAATTCCAACTTCTAATATCCTTCTAGCCAACTCCTAGAATGAGGAACAACAAATCATTTTTTTTTTCTTATACTTTGAACTAAATGCCATTTAAGGGCCATTTTAAACACTATTTCAAATTATGATCAAGTACTTGACAAACATTTATAGACATAAAAGAAAAGATTTTATTAAAATAAAACTGACTTCTCATCTATCTTGAAGTGTAATTTGGTCTTTTTCAATGTCTAACTCTATGCTTATTAAAGAGTGAGTTTATTCCTAAACTTGCTTGTGTGATTGTAATGTACCACTGTGCTTGTGATTGATTTTACAATTTTCTAGAGTTAGTTAGTGGATCCTATCCTAACAATCAACTTATTGTTGTTAAATCTGTTGTCCAGGCTGACGTTTGTCATGCTTACCAAATTTTGAAGAAAGGTGGTTTAAAAGATGAAAATATTATTGTTTTCATGTATGATGACATCGCTTATCAAGAGGAGAATCCGAGACCCGGGGTCATCATCAATAATCCCCATGGAAGTGATGTCTACGCTGGAGTCCCAAAGGTTTTCTCTAGTTCACCCTTTCCATTGTCACTTGATGAATGTTATGACGAATTTAATCTCATCTGCTTGATGTGGTATGGCAGGATTATACTGGGGAACATGTGACTGTCAACAATTTTTTAGCAGCGTTACTTGGTAACAAAGAAGCTATTACTGGTGGCAGTGGAAAGGTGGTGGATAGTGGCCCTAATGATCATATATTTATGTATTATTCGGACCATGGTGGTGCTGGTGTGCTCGGTTAGTATTTTGATCCTCATAGTTCTCTTGCAAGTCATACTTTCGTTGTTTATGGAATCTGTATGTTTTGAATGTTTATATTATAAATCTCTTACAATTATCTTATATTGTACTACTAAAGCTTTTTGAGTGTTGAGCATTTACCGGGAGTAACAGCATATTATGGAAATTATTGTGCGGCTAGTCTCTCTTGGCTTTTAGGTGCTTTCATGTTGTCTATTTGACTTATCCTTACAAAATCCTTCTTCATATAGTAGGTAGTACATTGGCAGGTTCTTAAATACATGTGGAATTGAACTCCTGCTGTTCTTATGCCATGCCTTGTTTAGTACTAGATCAATGTGAGCACACAATGATTATTTAATATTATGAAGATTTATGGTTTTACAAGTGCAACCGTTTGAAGATGAACATACCCCTAGGACTGTTACTTGTCATGTTCAATTTCATTACTACTCCATAATGTTGGATCCTCACCAATGTGCTCAATCAATTTTTATCATGTTGTTTCTTGTGAAAAAATGGATTTCAACACGTTGTGCTTGTTCAGGTATGCCTACAACTCCATTTCTCTATGCTGATGAGTTGATATATACATTGAAGAAAAAGCATGCTTCTGGAACCTATAAGAGCTTGGTGAGGTTATCCTCCCCCTGTCCACCACATACAATTTTTTATCATTGCAGGAAGTGTACGATTATCGTCAAATTTATCAAGGAAATCAATGTATAATGAATTTTTTTTTGTTTTCTTTTTTCCTTTTTTATTTTTTTTTCTTGTCAAAAAAAAAAAAAAAAAAAAAAAAGAAATGCGTTTTTTGCCAAAACAGTGGATACTTATAAGTAGCAATTGTATACCTTATACTTGCATCACTTCTATAAACAAGTTATTCTGGATGGGGTTTCAGTTCTGTGACTTTTGTGATGTACTGAATATTGTTTAAGAATTACTTTACAACCCTTCCCTCTTCCTTCTTTCAGAAACCAAAAGGCATGCATGCATCTTGTATGGAAGAGAGAGAGAGAGTGTGTGTGTGTGTGTAGCAGCTTTGACAGGTAAAACAGCAGCAATAGCCAGCACCAGGCAGACACAGCACCCCCAGACAACAGCTAACAGCCAGCCAGAAACAGAAAGCAGTAGCCAGCAACAGCTAAACACACCATGCAAACAGAAACCAGCGACCAGACACAAAGCAAACAACACAGCCAACAGAAAACAGCAGCTTACAAAAGGAAAGTTGACCTGGCTGTTAAATCAAGGACTACGCTTCTCCAGACCTTGATTCTGTTTTTTCTTTTTCTTCACTTTTTTAAAGTGTAATATTACAAGATATTGAAGAAAATATATGTGTTTTATGTATATTATGATTATATATAAGTATTTGGTACAATTTATGTGCAAAAAATGCAAAAAAAAAAAAAAAAAAAAAAAGAAATTTTTTTGTTTTTTTTGGGCATTTTTGGCACCGGTTTTGGAAAAAAAACCGGTTCTCATTGTTTTTTTTTAAATAATTTTGGGGACTTTTGGCACCGGTTCACCATTAGAACCGGTGCGAAAAGTCATTTTTCCCACCGGTTTTGAATCGGTGCAAAATCTGTTAGCTGTTTTAGCACCCCCCAAATCCGGACCAGTTCAAAACCGGTGCGAAATGGGGGGTTTGAACCGGTGGGGATTTCGTATTTTCGCCTAGTGAATACTAATTGCAAGATTCTCTCTCAATCAGAGAGAATCCATTTACCTTCCGCACATTTAAACATCCGAAAATGTTCTAACTTGATTGTCGGAGGCGGAACTCCACCCAACCGGAGTTTCGTGGTTTTGCAGATACTAACGGTTGAAGCGCATTCTCGGAATTGTAATTCTCCCGAGGGACTCCAAAACCCCGAAACATTTGGCGCCGTCTGTGGGGAGAGTACTTCCGAGATGGCATCCGATTCTGTACCACCTGGTAAGGGCAAGCGGCCGTACTAAGATCCATACGGACCAGGATAGCGGTGACGACTTTGAGGTCGACACCTATGTGGCCCCAGATGGGTCATTCCGAACTAGGCGCACCCGTTCCAAAGAAACAAGCGAACGGGGCGAAGACAAAGCTGGTCCCAGCAACATAGCCGGCAAGCCTGCTGGGCAACCCCAGGCGACAGAGGGTACAACCCCCGTCACTAGAGACGAGCTCATGAAATTCATGATGAGTTTCAAAGGGGAAATCAAGGACATAATAAAGAAGTCAACTGGCTCCAACAAGGGTCAGTCGGACAAGAACCTTCTCTCTCCGGAAAGAAGCACATCAAAGATCGGGTGCCTACTCCTCACCCTAAACCAAAGGGGGCGGATGGGCCCCTAATCGACCTTTCGAAACTTCGTTTCCCTGAATCAGGGCAAAGAAAGGCCATCCGGCAAGTTCAGCCGGATGGGTCAAAAAAGACTTACTTTGACGCCCGGATATTCATCCAGGAGAAGAAAAGTCAACAAATGTCTGAGTCGGCCTCAACGTCGACTTACCCAGACAGTTTCCGCAATACTTCAATGAAGTATTCGGAGACAAATCGAGAGAGTCAGTCACGCGGTATGTCCGCATGTACTGGCCCTCAGATTATCCAACCGGCTCCGTATGTGCCCTAACAGCCATACATGTTGTATGGATCACCATACATGCAGCCGACCCTCTTTCGGGGTCCGGTGGCACAGCAGATCCAGCCTATGGACTGGCAGCTCCGGTTACTAAACCTTGGGAAACAGCCGTCGGCGTTCTCTAGGGAGATAACCGAGGCGATTCAGCCGGCCAAGGTTAAGAATGTGTTGGTCGGCACCTATGACGGTACCACCAACCCGGAAGACCACCTAATGGCGTACACCAACCACATGTACCTACAGGAATTGGATGACGTCGTCTGGTGCCGATCCTTCCCGGCAACATTGAAGGGCATAGCCCAACGATGGTTTGACAATCTGCTAGCCGGGTGCATCAACAACTTTAAGACGCTTGCATACCTGTTTGCGTCCAATTTATGCTTGAACATTCCTTCCAAAAAGACAAGTCTCGACTTAGGAGCTATTCAGCGGGGAGACAAAGAGGGACTACGATCCTATGTCAGGCGGTTCAATCTGATGAGAATTCAGATTCAAGGGCAGTCTAACGAAGTTGCCTATACAAAGTTCTTCAAGGGTTTGAAGGACGGGTCAACCTTTAAGTTCGACCTGGTCCGAAAGAGGGTTGCTACCCTCCAAGAGGCATTGATCGAGGTCGAAGCCTACATACGGGCGACGGACTCTGTGCCGTTAAGCACTCGTCGGAACCTAGAAAATCCGATAGGAAAGAAAGCCGGTCTGCTCAGCCGACCAAAAAAGAAGTGAGCAAGAAAAAAAAAGAAGTCTGGACGGCGGACCGCTCTGGTCAGCCGTCCCAGAAGAAAAAGAGAGAGTTGAAGTCGTACGTCCCCAAGTACGAGTTCTACAAGGTCTGCTCCTCCATCCTCATGGAGATCAAAGATTGGCTGACCATTGAAAAGCCGGCAGCAATGAAGAGTCCAATCAACAGCCGGAACAAGAGCAAGTAATGTCAATTTCATGAAGATATCGGCCATGACACAAATGGCTGCTATAGCCTCAGGCGGTATTGGACTGTCTGGCTGATTAGGGGGCTTTAAAGTTCTATATGGTGAAGTCCAAGGGTAACCCCAAAACAAACAATGGACAACCGTCCAAGAAGCCGGCTATGAGCTCTGACACTGATGAAGAGCAAATCTTTACCATAGTAGGCGGTTTCGCGGGAGGGGGTCCTACAATTCGCGGTACCAAGGACAACATCCGAAAGCTGGTCAACTCAGTGGATGAGGGCCAGGCGTCGAAGGACACCTTCCCTGAGGTCCTTATCTCTAAGAAGGATCGGGGCAAGGTAAGACAGCCTCACGATGACCCTATAGTCATCGAATGCAAAGTTGCCAACCAACGAGTAGGCCGGATCCTTATTGATACCGGGAGCTCGTCTGACCTAATTAGCTATCAGAGCTTGGCGAAGCTCAAGTACAAGCCTAACAGTATGCACAAGGCTTCTCACCCCTTAATCGGCTTTGGGGGAGGGGTAGTGCATTCGGTGGGGAGGATTGACCTACGCATCCGGCTAGGAGAGAAGGGGGATGGACGACACATGGTCGTCAAGTTCTTGGTGGTTGAGGAGTTGACCGCCTTCAATCTAATTCTGGGATGTCCAACCCTCAACAAGTCCAAGGCAGTCATCATCCCATCCTTCGTGCTGATCAAATTTGAGAGGGATGACGGATCAGTGGGTTCCCTAAACGGGGATCAGAAGACGGCTAGGGAGTGTTACCTCTCCGACGTCAAGCCTACTGTGGCCGCAGCCAGCCAAAGCGAAGAACCCATTAACCTTGATGACTTCAAGGAAGTCGCGCCTGCTCCCAAAGCAGCCGGCATAAAAAGAGAAAGGCGGACCACCTGGTGGCCGTCTAAAAAGAGAAGCAACAGCAATCACTGATCGGGGGACGATCAGAGGATCTCCGTCCCCAGCCGGCTATCCACTTCCAAAGATCGACAGTCTAGACAACTCTACAGCCGGTCATGCCTTGATGAGCTTCATGGACGCCTACTCAAGCTTCCATCAGATACCCTTGTGGAAAAAGATCAAGAAAAGACGACATTCGTCACTGATCAAGGGTACTGATCAAGGGTTGTGTTGTTATACGGTGATGCCGTTTGGGCTGAAAAATGCGCCTGCTACCTTCCAACGGATGATCTATACGGTCTTCATTAATAAAAATTGGGAGGAATGTAGAGGCGTACATTGATGACATGATAGTCAAATCTAAGCTCCAGACAGATCACCTAGCTGACCTCCAAGAAACCTTCACCACCCTCAGGCGGCATAAAGTCATGCTAAATCCCAAAAAGTGCGTCTTTGGTGTTGAGTTTGGGAAGTTTCTCGGATTCTTGATTGATCAAAGGGGAATAGAGGCCAATCCAGAAAAGGTACAGGCGGTAATTGACATAAAGTCACCCGGCACTGTCAAGGAATTCCAAACACTTACTGGTTGTCTGGCGGCATTGGGGAGATTCCCCAGCCGGTCAGGTGACAAGTGCCTCTACTTCTTCCAGGCAATCAAGAAGAAGACTAGATTTTAATAGGGGGAGAATGCTGAGGCGGCATTCCAGAAATTGAAGGAGCACCTCCACTCATTACCACGGCTGATTAGCCCTCTAGCAGAAGAGGTTCTCTATATGTACTTGGCCGTCTCAGATCATGCCCTCAGTGCCGTTTTCCTAGCTGAGAGAGACGACATTCAGCTCTCGGTCTATTTCATTAGCCATGTTCTTCGAAACGCTAAGCTGCGGTACCCCTTGGTTGAATATTTTGGCCGAGCTCTGTTCATGGCAGTCAAGAAGTTGAAACCATACTTCTTGGCGCATCTGGTGGTCGTCTACACAGATCAATACCTCAAGCGGCCAATGACAACCTTGGAGTCATCCGGCAGAATGCTCAAGTGGGCTATTGAAATGCAAAGTTAAAAAATCACCTTCGAACCTAGAAAGGCAGTGAAGGGTCAGGCGTTCGCCGACTTTATTGTTGAAATGACAAGGCCGGCTCAGCCGGACAATGTCGATCAGGTTTGGAAGGTTTATTTAGACGGGAGCTCTACTATGAACGGCTGTGGTGCAGGCGTAATTTGCAAGTCTCCGGAAGGGGACAAATATGAATATGCACTAAGGTTCAAGTTTCAAGCCTTAAATAATGAGGTAGAGTATGAGGCCTTGCTAGCCGGTGTACGCATGTGTAAGGCGGCAGGGGCAAGGAAAGTTGACGCCTGCTTAGATTCTTAGTTGATCGTTAGTCAATACCATGGTGACTACGAAGCCACCCATCCGGCTATGATCAAGTATCTACAGGCGGTCAAAGATGAGGCTGGGACACTTGACGATTTTCGTCTAAGTCAGGTGCCCAGGTCAGAAAACAATCAGGCGGATGCATTGTCCAAACTGGCATCATCCGCCACTTGTGATGCGCCTAGGTCAGTCTTCTAGAAAGTCATGGAAAAAAGAAGCATTGAACACGATCCCATTGGAATTCTTGACCGAAGCTCTACCTGGATGGATGCCTTCCGAGACTATTTGGCAGACGATACTTTGCCGGATGCCCGTTTAAAAGCGACTGCGTTGAAAAAGCGAGCCTCAAGTTTTGAAATCTACAAAGGGGAGCTCTTCATAAAGGGCTACCTCAAGCCGTTGCTGAAGTGTGTTACCCCTGAAAGGGGAAAAGAGGTTTTAGAGGATCTGCACTCAACCTTTTGTGCATCACATATAGGCGGTAGAACTCT